GGATTGTTATTATAAAAAGTGTTTTAAAGTGTTTTCCTTATAAGTAAAAGTTGACTTAAATATGATAAAGGATTAATTAAAACCTATTTTTATTTAAAACTCAATATGGTGCCCATATTATGTGCTTGACAACTTGCCAGAAAAAAATAAATAATATTCTCATTTATTCTTTAAGAATTTCATATGTTTTATTATATCCACCCCTTTAATGAGATTCTCTCCCAATCCCCTGTCTCTCACCTCCCTTTTCCTTAAAAAAAATAATAATATTATTATTTGTGTTGACCAACTACACCTGTGGATGGGACCTGCCTTAAAATGTGGGCAATATATCATGTCATCCCACCGAAGAAAACTGACCTATCTCTCTTGTCCTGCAACAATCCAATGCTAATAGCTCCTTGGCTATGGGTGGCACTGTGTGTCTGCTTCCCCTCCTTCATACTGGAATTTTGTATGAATTTGCTAAGAACATTTAATGAGCAAGCTTATATTGACTTTGACTTTATTTTGATAAACAGAACTTGGTGTTTGTAGCAGCTCAAATCTGACATCTGCACTTATATGAATATTTTTCTAGCATCCTTCATCTGTCTTGAAGTGATAGCTGATTTGTGAGACTTCCATTAAATTAAAAATCTTACAAAAATATTTGAGTTCTTTGTTGTTCAATTCACAGATCTTTAAAGGAAGACCTCATATGCCAGTAGCCAATGTTTTATAAAGAAAATAAGAAAAAGAAAACAAGCCATTCTAATAACCATATAATACATGCATCCAATCTGTTTATCAACATGTGTGGTCATGATTTTTGAATAGTTTATAATAATTTTTGATAACAGTAAAAGATATGTGAAATCAGAAGTTGCCATCAATAGCAATTCAAGGCTCAGAGTCCAAGCCATTGGATTGTTTTGTTTGATGAATAATATTATAAATGTTTTAATACTATTATAAATGTTTTAAATGAACTTAGTGCAGAATCACTTATTCAGCATATTCTTAATAAATCTTAATTTACCTTTGATTGACTATAGCTTGATAATAGTTTTCTGGTTTCTAGTGTGAGCTGAAGTAAGCTCATTCTGTGCTGGCTCAGTGAAGCTACCTAATCTTTGTCTTATTAAATAATCTCTGCTAGTATTTTTAAAGTTTTCTATCCATTTCAGCTCCGTTATAACTATGATATTGGCTCAAAGCCTACATTTTCCTTTTATTTAGTTTTTACTCTTTTAACACAGGATGGCCTTGAACTCATAACCCTCTTTCTTTGCTTCAATGGTACTAGAATTTCAGGCATGTGCCACCACATGCAATTTCACCTTCTTGCTTATTACTGTGGTTTGTAGAGCTTGATATTTCTTCCGTTCTCTTTGTTATAACCCGGAAGGATTAAACTATACGTGTCATTTTTTATTTACATATTGCTTACCTTCTTGTACTTATTAATTTGTGTGTGTGTGTGTGTGTGTGTGTGTGTGTAATACGTATGCAATGGGCTGGTACCATGACAACCATGGGGAGGGAAAGGACAGCTTGCAGGTGTCAGCCCTCTCCTACCACCAGGTAGATTTCCAGGATCGCTCAGGTTGTCAGGCTTGGCAGCAAATGCCTTTATCCACTGAGGCATCTCATCTGCCCATGGCCACATTTTAAATGTGTGGCACCAGGGCCTGCTGAGTCTTAATGGAGAGGATTTGGCAGAAAAAATGGTCCCTGACTGAACCCCCAGGTTGTCTATTAACACCTACCATTACCTGCCATCTAAATGTAAGTTAAATAATCTTCCCAATTTGTATGTTGGCAAAATGCCACCGCAGCAGATGGACAAGACTGTATGTAACTGGAAATTATGCATATACATTTAATATGTGGACTGTGCACATAATTCCTTTCTAGGAACAGCCAAACATCCTCCTGCCCGCAGCTATTTAGTGTGTGTACTGTTTACACCATATGCCAGCACAATGGGAGGGCCTTAACTGAGAGGCAAAAGGGAACAATCATACATTTCATGGAAACTGTTTCATGGAGTACATTTATCTCATTCAGGGGAGGGAACATATGCAAACTATTGTGAGTATAAATGAGATTATTTCAAGTAATATATTTCCAAAACCAATTTTGGTATTTAAAAAAGGCAAAACAGTTTAGAAATGATAGAAAGAAAGAAGTGTGTTACTTTCTACCAGGACACCCTTAAGCTTTTAGATGTCTATTTCTTTTCCTCCTATCTCATCACATTCATGCAATAAAAGCAACGTATTCAGTGCCACCATAATTCTCTGTACTAATGAAATTGTTCTACTCTGTCTCTAAATAGTTCTTATGTTCGCCTACCTCTACGAGTCTTTCCTAGTTTCCCATTAACTGGTGCATTAAGCAAGTTGTATTTTTTTCTTTAAATTCAAAGTATTGCATTTTCCAGTTATTGGTAGTGAGTCTAAGATTCAGCCTTCTAGAGCCATTTTAAAGTAGGAAAATGTCAGTCACACTGACTCAGCCACAGTACAGAGTATGAATGGAACACCTTCCATCAGTACTAATACAAATGAGGTTGTCAAAGCTCTCAGCTCTGTGATTTCAGGAACTCGATTTTGTCAGAATTCTATATTTCCACTTGATTCCTCGAAGAAGCGAATGATAAAGTGGATTAAACATGGAGGTATTTTATTAGAGAAAGTGCTCTTGTGACAATGTCGAAATCGTTCTGGGAAAGGAGGACTCTTCCAGACAATATGTGAAGCCAAGAAAAGAGAAATGTGAGTTTTTGGACTTCTTTGATATGCTGAAGTAAAAATATAAGTTCAGCAATACCGAAAAGGAGTCCTCAAAATATAGGAATCCAGTGCCTTCTTGGAATAGACTTAATTTAGCATCAGGAGCTGTGAGGAACTCTTAGCAACATGGCCTCGAGGATGTAGTATTTCAGGAGGCAGCAACTGCAGCTCACGGTCAGTTACACTTGTAATTGCATGTCTCCATTCTCTTGGTCACCATAAACCTGCAAAGTGATTAATCTCTTAAAGGGAACATTTCCCACTAAGTCCATAAGGAATCCGCTTGTATATTGTCAATAGTGGCTTTGCTTACATTAAGAATTATTCTTTGTGGTAAAATATTCATCTAACCAAGATTGATAATCTTTTCTAGTTAATGGAATTTTCCGGAACAGCAAAACAGCCGTGGCACTGAGTTAGTAAGCTCACACCTTAAACAGAGATTCAGTAAATGTTTCAAACTATTTGATACCTAGATATTTTATTCAGGTATTACTGAGTTCTATCTGAAATGGCACCCGACACAAGAAATAAATGCTAGCATGTAGTTCCAATGTCATCCAGATGTGTGGAGAATGGCTGTTTCAGCTTGCCTCTGAAGCTCTGCTCTCACATCCTATGCTGACAAACCATTGCTGCTCCTGGAATCCTTAGATCAAATCAACACAAGATTTTTAATGACTTTGGATCCCAGTTCATTATCTTTTTATCCTGGGAACAATAGATTTCTGAGATTTGCAGGCAATGTTTCAGGTCTCTATCTGTTTGACCAGGAGAACAGAATGGCTCTCAGGCATCTCAGAAAGGATGGCAGAAAGGGCCGAGTGACTGGAATCTCCCCACATGTTCTACCTTCCAAAAACTGAGTTAGACTTCCATACCTTGTGGTATAAGTTTTCCCAATGCCAAAACACGCAAGTTCCAGTACACAAGCACTTTCCAGTCACTTTAGCTATGTTTTGTACTTAGCACAAAAGTTTCACACAGCCAATGCCAAGTGAAACTTATTAGAACTTTCAGAGGCATGGATCCAGGAGAAAAAGATCATATTGGCAATTTGGCACAAATAACCAACTACTCTGTTTTATATTGTTCTACAAAGGTGTGTGTATGTGTGTGTGTCTGTGTCTGTGTGTGTATCTGTTTTTTTGCCTAAGTGTTTCTATGTCTCTATATGTGTGTATGTATATACACACATGATATGATGAGGAAATAATTAAAACTAGCACTTTTTATTAAAGGTTAAATCCATCTATGATGACTCCGACCTACTTTTTCGTTCTTTGTAAATGACTAGCTGAAGAAGAATGGCAGGAGTTTCACCCAAGCCTCTGGTTGTGACTGTAACATTTGATTTACACTTAATGAGGATAAGATGCATAAGGAAGTTCCTTGATTTGAAAATGTTACAGGCCAGGTTATCTGGTGAGATTCCAGAATTTCTGTGTCTGAAACAAAGCCTAGTGCTGGACATCATTTTAATGAATTTAAGACAATCTCACCTGCTCTGGGTCTTAGGACTGTCCCCTTTTGAACTGTAACTCAGGAACTGTTTGAATAGCATACACTCATACTCCCTACACATATTCACCCAAGTGCAGTCTATTTGCCAGGATATTGATGTTGACAGTTCTAGCTAAGGTACCGTCCAGTGTACTAATACCCTACTTCTACTTTCCCTCTTCAGATAAACCCTAACATAATAGTAAAGAGAATTGAATCCAGTGTCATGATGAGTAATTTCTTGATGAAGGAATCATCTTCATTTTCACTACACAATAAGAGGCTTGAAGAGATTAGTGCCTTCTTTAGCATCATTTCCGGGGTTTTGTACATAAGAATCAGGAAACAGACACAGTTGTTTTGTTTCTTTTGTTACACATTAGCCTAGATTGATCTAGAATTCAGGATGTTCTCATATAGTCCTTGAACTCATTGGAGCATCCTTTCTACCTCAGGCTCTTGAGGTACCAGGACCAGCACTTTGAGGCAAGGTATGCAGGTAGTCTCTGCTCTGGCCCCACAACATTATGGTCTTGATTTATATTCTTCAGTTTTGAAACGCTGGTGACAAAACTTGGGGTCCCTCACATGCTAGATGAATGTTCTGTCTCTGCATTGAATCCTGAGCCTTTTTCTTATTGTTTGGACTGTGTGTTTCAGGGCTAAGAAGCCAACGTCTTATAGTAATTCATCATGCCTATTTTGTTTTCCTTCTAGGACTACAATGATGAAATTCGCCAAGAACAGCTCCGGGAGTTGTCTTACTTAAATGGCTCAGAAGAGTCTGGCCGTGGCCGAGGTCTTAGAGGCAGAGGAATCAGAATTACTCCCATAGCTCCTTCAAGGTACGTGAGTTCTCACTCTTAGTGGATTAACAAAAATGATGACTTCAGGCATCTGCTCTATGTCAAAATTCCAAAGAGAACTAAACAATTAATTAACACTCACATAATAATATGACAGTAAGTCTAGATGCTTAAATAGTACAAAACACAACAGCCTCATCAATACTCACATTATAACAAAACAGTAAGAATGGATGGTTAAATAGCATACAAGAAATGGCCCACATTAATTCATCACATTTTTTTTAACTTGAGATAAGTACTTTTTATAAACTTTGGAACAAAAGTTGGGTGGGCCAAGTGTGGTAGCCCACACCTTTAATCCCAGAACTCAAGAGACTGAGAAAAGGGAATCTATGTGTGTTCAATACCAGCCTGATGTCCATGGTGATTTTGAGGCCATCCATGGAGCTAGTTTCAGAAACAAAACAACAACAAATGTAAGGGAGAATATTAAAATGTTACCTAAAATAATAGATACATTCTGACTGCAGAATTCATGAATTTGAACACTTAACAACTATTCTTAGAAACTAAGGTGGGAACCCGAGATGCTCTACTTCCCTGTTCTGTCCCCAGGATTAGGTCACAGAGGTTACATAGTCCTTTGCTTTTTTAAAACCAGAAATGATAGAAAGCTGCACATTTTATCCATGCCATATATGGTTCTTGAAGGGATATAATATTGTCAGTTTACATATAAATGAATTGAATATATCTTCATCATGTAAGAAGAAAAGCTCACTGTGGCAGCACTAACATCTTAGCTATATAAACTTCATGAATATATTTGGCTTTGCAAAATCCTTGATGATAATTTTTTGTTTTGTAGGATTCTGAATGAATTTTTTAAGCTTGAAATAGAAGACATTAATTTGCCAAATGGCAAAGATGCATGCATACTGTAATACCCAAATCAGAGACCAAACAGCAGTGAACTCAGACTAACATTCCCGAACATCTATTTCAGGGGCAGAAAACAAACATCGAAAAGTAAGGCATAGTGGGAAGTCTAGGGTCATAGTATCAAATGCCTTCCAATGGTGCTGTAGCTGTTACTGTCTTTGGTTTTCTTTTTCTCACTTCCCCACAAGTTCAACAGCTTTGCCCACCTTGCTGCCCGTTTCTATTCTGGTGCCCTACACTCTGTCTGGCCTCTTATCAGCTATCTTAAAGCTGATTCTTCCCAATCATAGCCCAGAACTAGAAAAACCTGGAAGCAAAATCAACCTTTTTCTGATTAAAAGTTATACCACACACACCACACACATACACACAAACACACACACATCACAATCTTCACACACAAGATGCATAATCCATTTACTCATTCACTTTCTTTTCTGTATAGCTGGCTAATATTTGTAAAGGACAGACTACGAATAATGTCCCATCTGTCATGATAAAAGTATAAGATATGCTAACATATTCTGCGATTTCTGCCCCAAACACTTCAATCATTATCAATACACCACTGCCTTTTCCATTTAATATTTTAAAACCTTGCTTGTTTTTCAGAAAAAAAATTAAGGATTCCAAAATAGAATATTCAACATTTAGCTCTATACATGAATCTATGTAGAAATTTTGGGACAATTAAATCTACCTGAAGGAAAAGACACAAAAACTTTTCAGAGCTTTTGCTCATACTTCATCCCAAAAATTAAAAAGTAAACATTGTTCTAATTTTCCAGGTCTTATCCTTATTGATACAAGATGCAACATTTTACTTGAGACAAGTCTTTTATAAAACTTGCATTTCTTGCCTGATTTTGTTTGATTCCAAAGTAGCATCCTTGTAAATCATCTTAAATAGGTTAATTCTAGAGTCTGAACAATAAAACCTCACAAATTTGTGGTACAGAAATATTATTTTAACTATTAAGCAGTTTAGCAGGTAAATATTAACTATATATTTCACACACCAAACAAAGCAAAATATCTTCAGTATTCCTTGAGAATCTAACTACATAAATTACTTATCTTATTATGATATCTTAAAAACATCATAGTAATAGAATTTGTTCTAGTACTAACATAGGGGACCAGATCATGAAAGAAACTTAAAGGAAAAATGTTTCTTTTGGCTCAGAGTATTTGCCAAAATTTGAATGGACTTAAATTTTGGTGAATCTTTATTCCAATGTTTTAATTCATTTCTTAATCAAATAAATAAAGGAGCACTATTAACATTAAGGGCAGATTTTGGATGATTTGGGGGGCAACACTAGAGGTAACATATAGAACTGGTAGATTTTAAAGGGATGTCACCCTATCTGTATTTTGGAAAGGATCTTGGGAATTGGCATGATGAGCAATTAGCTGTGTTCAAGGCTAAGAAGTGGTGAAAGAGACTGAATCACAACTGGGGAAACAATGAAGACAAACCCACGACCTGAGGCTGGCAGAAAGGAACAGCACTTGAAATACAGAGAAACAGAATAGAGAAAAGAATAAAAGTCGAAAGAAACATTTTCCAGATAATAGTTCGGAGAAGTCTTAAATATAACTCAGGAGACACAGGGTCATGGGAGCTATAAGAGGAAATTGGTAGGCTGTGGGCTTGGCAGGCTCAGCCAAGTGTCTTCCCAGAGTGCTGAAAACAAGAACTAAAGAGATGACATTTGGTTCAGAAATGAACATGAAGAGAAGATTAAATGCAGAAAATGCTCTTTGAAGAAGTCAGAAACTGAAAGAATACTGCACTGGGGATTTAGCCCTGGACAGTATCCTAAAAGAGATGGTGCATGCTTTAGGTTGAACGGGAGGAAGCAATGGTGTTAAGACTGCCAGGAAATGACAAGACATATAAGAGGGAATGAGACACACTGGAAGAAGTTTTGCTAAGATTGGGTCTATGAGTTAGTTGAAGAAGAAATGTAATGAAAAAATCAGAATCAGTATGAGCATGAAATAATTGTAAAGCAGAAATATTATATAGATTTAGAAATCTAGGTACCTCTCAATCTGAAATATATTATTTTAGGTCTAGGTAATTTAAATATTTACCTACTATTATTCATTGACATAGCCAGCACATGTAGTTTATTATCAACACATGTACATTTTGATAGCATTAAAATGCTAAACTAAACAGGAATTATCACCCTAGTCGTCAGACCCAGGAGTATGTTACCATTAAGGAACCAGGGACTTGGAGGCTATATTAATGACATGTCTCATCATAAGCTAATATTCAATAAGAAGCAACTCAACAGAGGAAAGAACAGTTATTTGGCTCACAGTGTGAAGGGGATACGTTCATCATATTTGGAAAGGCCTTGTGGAAGATGACTCACAGCGATGGGGACCTCTGACTGGGAGAGTTTTGCTCTTTGAGTGTCCACAGATAACTAATCCTTCCAATAAGGTTCCCCATCCTACAGATTCTAGAACTTCCCAAAACATCACTAAGAGCTGGGCATCATGTGTTTATGCATTTCACATACAGACAGCTCAGGAGCTTGGTGGAGGCAATGGCACTTAACAGGTATCTTAATGTCATCTGATAACATTAGCTTGTTATCCCAGCCATTGCACTTGAAACTGGCACTGCGTGTTTGGGTCCTTTATGGACTTGGCTCTAGGCTACTGTTTTGTATAGTCTCTACTCATAAGCTGGGTAAGCCAAGAATTCACTCCCAACACTCATTTTCTGTTGACCGAGGTTTCTGTCCTGCTCGATCCTGCCAGCCATTTGCCCCCCAAAACACATAGAGGCTTACATTAATTATAAACTGATTGGCCGAATAGCTCAGGCTTCTTATTAACTTTTATAACTTATATTAGCCCACAATCTGGTCTGTGTTAGCCATGTGACTTGGTACCTTTTCTGGTGAGGCAGTCACATCTTGTTTCCCCTGTATCTGGATGACGACTGCAGACTGAATCTTTTCTCTTCCCAGAATTCTCTTGTTCTCATTGCCCTGCCTCTACTTCCTGCCTGGCTACTGGCCAATCAGCATTTTATTAAACAAGTACAAGAAACAAATCTCTACAGTGTAAAGCCATTGTCCCACAACAATTTTCTTCCAGGATGAAAGAGCCAGTTGATGGCTGTTCAGAGCAGTTTAACCCATGCCTCCATTGATGGCACAGCTGAACTCTATGATCATTGACATTCCAACGATCATCACTTTTCTCAAAGCTTAGCATTCTTGCTGATAGCAGTAATTTCTAGAGGTCAACTTTCAGACAATGAAAAGTGAAATGACCATGTATTTGTTTAAAGATTTCAGGTGAACATCCTTTCTATATGTTTCAGAATGTCAGAAAAAATGGCTACATCCTTTGCTCTCATGCTTTTGTTCTGTGTGGTAGAAAACATTCATTAGGCCTTCTCATTGCTGGGCACTAATTCACCAGCCCTGAGGTTACCTAGTGAAAATCTGCCAGTGACTTCACTATCTCGGGAGATAATAGTGTGATGCGTAATTCAAGCTACTGTAATTGCACAGTGTCATCACTCTGGCCAGAATGTCACATTTTATTGATTTTTTTTGAAATATGACCACACTGGAGATCACTGTCAACAACTCCCAACATGGAGATAGTCTACACACACACACACACACACACACACACACACACACACATACACGGTCCCACATGTAGCCAACATACTACATCTCAGAAAATTGTCTGTTTGTTCTTTTAAAGTCTGGAATATAATCAAGAAAGACTTCAGTTTTCTTTTTCCATTTCTTTTTTCTCCTTTTTTTAAAATTATATAATTGAAAATATCAAAATATATTTCATGGCTTTCATTAAATCATAATATTTAAAGAAATATGCTTTAATGTGACTCAAAGCACTTTATGTATTCTATAATATCTATCAGAGAGACTGATTTATATAGATGCAATGAGCTGAACACATAATTTCTTGTCTTTCTTTTCTTTCATCTACTTGCCTCTTATTTCTCATAGGGGCCGTGGGGGTGCTGTTCCTCCACCACCACCACCTGGACGTGGTGTTCTTACCCCTCGGGGGACCACTGTTACCCGTGGAGCTCTTCCAGTGCCCCCAATAGCCAGAGGTGTCCCTACACCTCGTTCCAGGGGGACAGCAGCTGTACCAGGATATAGAGCACCCCCACCTCCAGCCCATGAGGCTTATGAAGAATATGTAAGTACCCCCAAAAAATTGTTTTGAGGAAGAATTAAATTTACTGGTTCAGAAAGTAAACTCCATTCCATAAAAGTAGAAGGTAATGTCAGTTGTAGGGCACAAATATCATTTACAACAGACGTTAAGCCATAGATTTACATGTGAACACTTAGGAAAAAAAATTCATCAATGTCATCATTGCAGTTCATATGACATCAACTCTACTGAGGTGTTCCTATCTTTATAAATTTTGATCAGCTTTCAAATTGGAAATAGTTATACATTATTGCAAGTGTGGTATGAATTTTATGCTCATAGAATTTACTTGGAAGTGAATAAACATTAGGGAAAATGAATAAATATGAGCATCAATGTATACACTGTATGCACAGATGGATATCCTCCCATTTTCACAACTTTCACTTTCACTGGCCATTTGAAAGACATGTGATTGTCATCCAGAATTGAAATGTATAGTGTAAACAGGAAATGCAGGTCTTTAAATACCCTCCTACCATTCCTGTCTCCAGAATTTTATTCTTGTGGAGAACCCAGCAGTGTCTACTCCACCACCTCTTTCAAAGGTCCCAGGGACTAACAAAGGTTCTATTTCACCAAAGTTCCTCCTGAGGCACACATGAGAATATTGGGGTTGCTTACAGCACATGGTGAGGTGTTACTAATAGGAGCAGGGGTGACTCTGGAGCAACCACATTGGAAAGTCTTCTTCCAGCGTGGATGGTGGTTTTCCTGTAGCTCCATAAGTGGGATCTCTTTCACCAAATCATCTCCAAGCTGTGGAATCCAGTTCACCACCCCTAAATCCACATGCAATTAGAGCAGAATTGCATACAATTGTCTTAGAGAAGTGAATGGCTATTCAGGTAAGTTTCCAATATAGACCTTCTTCCCTCTTCTTCTATGAGCAAATGTCAGCATGCAGCATATCCAGCTGTGGTTATCTTTGTAATAACAGACACAGTTGATCTTATGAAGATGGTAGTTACTGTCTCAGGGGATAATGCTGTGCAACATGAACCCTCTGTATGTCCACATCATTTGTTATCTCCTAGAATTCTCTGACCTTGCTAAGAAAAGTCACTAGTCCAGGAGCCACTGTGTTATAGTCTCTCTGTCTGTTTCTGCTGTATTATGAAGCTTGGAAAGAGAGTTTCCTGCTCATGTCCTGTGATTTTGTAATCTCAGGAATCTACCATAATGATCCAAACCAGATCATCATGCAATAAAAAAGGATTGTTGTTGGGGTTGGAAAGATGGTTCAGTAGTAAAGAGCACTTACTGCTCTTGCAGAGGACCTGGGTTTGATTCCTTGAATCCATGACAGTTTACAAGTCTCTGTAATTTTTGTTCCATGTAGATCTGATGTTCTCCTCTGGTCTCCAAGGGCACTGTGACATGCCTATACATACATGCACAAGCATTCATACACGTAATTTCACCCTGTAATCTAGGCATTTATTTCATTCTGCCAACAAATGTCCTCTTAAATGCCTTCTGCAAATCGTTGCTCATTAAGTTGAAACCCTTCAATAATAATTGCTCTCATGTGCTGGGCTCTAAAATCATATAAATCATTATACCCTATATGCTAGCTAATTACCAGTCAAAGCTTCATCCAAAAATAAAGTAATCATGGTTGGTTGGTTCCACTCTAGAAGATACTAATGCTTAATGCTGGGTGCACATTTTTGTTTTAACATAAAACACTGACAAATGTCTTAAGGACTGAAGGAAGATTAAACAAGGGCATTCTAGAACTGACAAAATATGTTCATCTGTATTATCTTTTATATACCAGATGCTGATGTTTAAAACTTGGACATTTATGGAAAGTCGGAAAACATAACTCAACTTGTAATTAAGCTGACACAAAGTTTAGTCAGGAATATGACACATTATTTACAAAATAAGTCCATACTACATGGGTGAACAAATACGTGGGGGAAGATATGAAAACTTTTCATGTTTAAAACAGGATTTTCTGTTAGAAAGAATTTGATAACATACAAAGTTTCAGGCGAGTCTGCTGAGCCACTAGTGGCAATCTCTTGAGTACCTAACTGGACTATAGTTAGAGACCTCTGCTTTCTGCTCAACTTCCAGACTATTGATGCCTCTGTACTAGGAAGGAAAAACAAAAGTTTAAGTGTCTCAATAGCAAAATAATAGCACCATGCTGAGTTGATAGTGAAAAATCTCAAAGGAATTCTTAACTCTCAGATAAAATTTTGCAGAAAAAAAAAAAGGTTTCCTTTGTTATAAACCCCAGTGTGAGTCAATTCCTTCTTCACAGGCCTTCTCCTGCTGGGCCCCAGCATTAAGTTTCTGACCACACAAAATGTGTGGAGGTAATCAAATCTGCTCCTGCAGCTGACCTGAAAACAGTAATTGAGACCGCTGTTCTAAGGTCATCATTACATACATACATACATACATACATACATACATACATACATACGTGTATACACACACACACATAGTTTGGGGGTTATTATCCCAACATTATATATTTGAAAGCTTCTTTTTTGTTAAACATCTTCTCATGAAACACATTCACAACTTGCTGAGCCATCACTATAACTGAGGGAAGTTAGAAAAATTGACAATTGTATTTGAACAAAAATTCACATAGAATGAATTAGAATCTCATGAGATCTACCAGAGGTTAGAAGTGAAATAACACTTTTGAAGACACAGACAGGTCTAATCATGGTATATTAAGTCACTGGGGCAGAGTCACTGGGGCAGATGCCGATGCTACCAACTAGCTATTAATTTTGGTGTGATATTAGAGATGCTTAGGCTAGTTGTGCACCTTCTTCAGTGTCCAGAAACACTGTTCTTCCTCTCAGTAACGATCAGAGTAGAATCCTCCCTGGTGCTTTCTCACAGAGAACACACTTATGCTGACAGACTACCTGCACATCCAGGCAGTGACTGAATTTCCAAGTCAGTGTTTAGCACATCTTCTGATTCCTTTATGAATACCTCCACTACAGGGATCTGGATATCCCTAGAAACCAGGTGCTAGAGAGACGGCCATCTGTAGAGATGGGAAGGACTGTCAAAAATCAAACCTGTCTGGGAGACAGAGCTGGTCCCATAACCACCATAAACAGTGGATTTGCTTTGTGGGACTCTTATCTCGCTCTGGCATCTGTTAAAATTCATTTTACCTCATCTTTGACCATTACAACCCTCCGCATATCCCAAAGGCAGAAAATATTTCTTATATTTGTCTTTTAAGTTCTATGTAAACTGCATAGTAGCAACAATAGGATTAAACTACTTATTGTATTTTTAGAAATATTTTATATATATACATATTTTGTTAATTATTAAATGAAAATACAGAATAGCATAAATTGCATATCTAATTTATACTACCCGCCTTAGGGTTTCTACTGCTGTGAAAAATCACTGTGGCCATGGCAACTTTTATAAAGGAAATTTTTAATTCGTGTGGATTGCTTACAGTTTCAGAAGTTTAGTCCACTATCATCATGGTGGGTACATGGCGGTGTGCAGGCAGACATGGTTGCTGGTTACTTCTTGATCATAAGGCAAAAGGAAGTAGAATGTGTCTCTGATCGAATCTTAAGCAGGAGACCTCAAGACTGCTTCCCTCACAGGGACAAACTTCCTTCAACGAGACCAGGCCTCCCAATATTGCCACTCCTTATGAGATTTTGGGGCGAACAACATTCAAACTACCACACTGCCCATGTTCCAGTAAAAGGAATTGCCAATCATGGCTATGGTTGTTTTACAAAGTTTATAAGATAGAGATCATAGGCAAATCTTTGAGAACCAGGGAGAAGAGCGTTTCCATGAGCAGGGAATGGTGAGGGCAAAACCAGGAAAAGGTATCTTCACTGCAAATGTAGAGAATCTAGGAGAAAAAGTTATCAAAACAGTACATTAGACTGAGAGTGGAAATGGCTTAGGAGAATGGAAACAGAGGCCGGATAAAATGCAGGCTTCTGAGAAGATACATATCAACAACCAAGCATCAATAATATTTTTTTCTTTCATTGAAAACAGAAAAAATATCCTGTATTTTCTCTCCTCTATTAAATTTTTTAAATAAAATCACATTTATGTTATAACTTGATCAGAGGCTATACTTTTAATAAAAAGGGACGAGTCTTGGATGATAGCACAGTGGTAATGTGCTCACTGTTCAAGTGTGAGAACTTGAGTCGGACACCCAGATTCCACATTAAGACATAAAGCTGAACATGTAATGCAGACATGTCCAATCTCAGTGCTTCATGGCAAGATAGGAGGCTTACAGGCATATACAGGAGAATCCCTGGAGGCTGTAAGAAAATCCAGGCAAGTAGTCTGTGTCTCAAACAAGGTGTCAGACAAAACCCCCTAAATTGTCCCCTCTCTTTCTGTGACACACAGAGAGAGAGAGAGAGAGAGAGAGAGAGAGAGAGAGAGAGAGAGAGAGAGAGAGAGAGGAGAGAGAAGATATGTTTTGTGAGTTTTGTAACTTATCTCAGTTTGAAGCTTCTAAAAATTTGCTGTTGGTTGGTTGTGGCTTGTCAAATGAAACACTCACTCTCATCTTGATTTTGTATCCATGATTTTGTGGGGTTTCTTCTGATAGAATGCAAATGTGTAACCCTTAAAGCCACATAAAGCCTGGGTCGGTCCCCCTAGAGATATGTCTATACAGCATGTATAGAACAATGTACGTGGGAGACAGGACAGGGGAAGATTGTTTAAAGGAAGCACTGTGCCTGTAGGATGCATCTGCATTTACTCAGAATGATTTCAGTACTGTTGAAAAGTCATTACTTGTGGTATGCTATATTTTTTTTACAAGAATTGTGTGAAAATTAAAGTTAAGGTAAATGCCCTTGGGTTCTTTAAGTGCCTGTAAGAACATAAAATCCTACAGAAAATATTGGCCTTACATATGTGCTTTTATAAATACTCTCTGACAACTCATAGGTTGAGAGAGTTGAAAGAAATAAAACAAGTCT